GGACATCATCTTCATTTAGGAAAGCTTGTTTCAAGAGATTTGGGAAGATCATAAATGTCTAAACCATACACGTTTTGGGAGATATTCAAGATAGTTGATCTAAAGTCCTTAATATGACACCCAATCTGAAATATTAAGGCTAGGACCCAACAAACTATTTTATAACTTAGAAGAGGGATGCCGTAATCCAAGCTATAAAATATTTGAAGGTAGGTGAATGACGATTCACCAATTTCCACCATGAAAAACGAAATAATAATTAGGTTTTAATTGGTTTTGAAACTCCTAGATCTTTGAGATTCATTGAACTGTTCAATGGCATGTTTCAATCTCAAGTGTGCCCTTCAGGTTTTGTGACTGGGACAAATTATGAGTTTTATGAAACTTAAATGTGACTTTATTTATTATTTAATGAAGAGACTCTTGGTCCTCCATAACTTGAGGACAAATTATGGAGTCATAACACCAATTATTTAGACCTAGACTCTTCATTTTGTAACCTTTGCCAACTTTTATGAGTTTTATGAAACTTAAATGTGACTTTTCATATAACTTGAGGACAAGTTACAAAAACACATTTTAGAATCAACTCTTAGATTAATTTGGATTGAAAACAACTATTTCACTCAACTTTTCTATTAATCTAAGCAACTCATAAGAACAAGATAATTCAAATCAAACTTTTTCATGTAATTAGTCTAAACCTTAAACTAATACAAAACATGAATCTATTGACAATTATCTTTGAAATTGGATTAGCATAACATTACCACATCAAAAATAAGCTTATAAGTTCAAAAACATCTTAGGGTAATGTTCCTAGTCTAATTCCAGCCAAAAAAAGTCGAATTTATGCTGTCTGGGGGTCCAACTCGTCGAGTGCACAAACCAACTCGGCGAGTTGGATGCTTTTTGCCTTGGACTCGGCGAGTCTGCTGGGCAGACATCATCAAAACTCGATTTTTCAGCTCCATTTGCAAGTATAACAAGAAAACAAGCCTAGGCTCTGATACCATTGTTGGGTTATGAGCATTCTAACACTCCTAAGTGTACATGCAATCCTAAATACCTTGGATCTATGTTTTCTCTATTATACATTCAAATATGAACATCCAAGGTATTATCCTAATCTAGCATACAAAACAATGGATATAACAAGATAGAATACATACCTTTTTCATGTAGAAAGTCTTCATGAAGCTTGAGTGCCTAGTGCCCCAAGTGTGACACCTCAAATGGTTCACACAACACCAAATACACTTGGAATAACTTGAGAGAATTCTACACTTCATGAAATCGGCTAGCCCTCTCTTACTCTCTCTAGTGGCCGATTTTGGTCAAGAATAAGATGCTTATATAGTTAGGGTTACACCATGTAAACCCTAATTGACATGGCCTTTCATTTTCATGATCCATGGGTACAAAAACACCATGGAGCATCATATGGGTTTTAGCCCAACTAGATAATCCATGGAGCATTATCCCACTATATAAGTATGGATGATTTGTACAATCAACCCATATATTTAATTAGTCTTCTTTTGATCACTTAATTAATCCTAGATTAATTCTTGATCAATACTAATTAAATAATCTTATTATTCTTATTATTAATATACTAGAACTTATAATATATTAATAACCATAATTGTCTTATTTCTCTCATTATAGTCTATCCAAGTGCATGATGCCATGCAACCCAAATGGATCATGTCGGGTCGGGTCAAGTCTTACCAATTATAGTTATGGACTTAGACATTAATCCAACAGTCACACCTTCGCCTTGCTCCAATCGTTTGATGTACTTTCTACGGTTAAGCCCATAATCATGAGGTCCAATAATTCCAAGTTAGGCCTGCTAATGGCCTAACTCATATAGAGAACCCCAAGGCCTAAGTGTTCCAAAATGGTCTCAAGTCAACGGTCCAAACTCCAACATATGATCCTCATAACGTGACTAGCTCATGGTCACGTTGTGAGCATCAACTCTACCTGATCCCAACTCAGCTGGTCAACTCAGCCCATCGTCATGTCATGAACTCTTCCTTAGATCACATTGTGACCTAATCTGGAAAAAACAGTTGGGATGGCAAGCATCCTCACGACGTGGCATGCTTAATCCTCACGTCGTGAGTGTTGCTGCACTGACCAAATTTGAATGTTAAGCTCTTATTCATTATAGGCATAACTTGAGACTTTCTAGAGGGTTTTCCCTCACTTAAAGGATGATAAAAATCATAGCTTCTTAGTCATGCATGACTTAAACACTTACAAGGTCAAAAAAGGGAATAATGAGATCTAGACTTATGCTTGGAGTCTCAAACTATACCAAAACTCAGATCCAAGGACTTTATCACAGAAAATGACTTAATGATACATAGAGTTGCCAACTTTATGGATCCCATGCATGCAATCCATCACAATCATGCGAAAAGGAGCTTAGAACTTAGATCTAGCATGCAATAGGTAAAAAGGTTACAACTTTATGACTTGCAATGGTCCAAAAGCTCAATAAGAAGGTAAGGTAGAAGCTGGAATGCTAAGAGGTTGCTCCACCAAGGTCTTATTCCAATTCAATGAGTCAAAAACCACCAAATAAGGCTTCAAAGATCAGAAAAATGGCTAAGGACTTCAATTAGGTCAAGATTAGGGTTTACAGGAGGCAAGAGAGCGAGGGAGGATAAGGATGGGCAAACCTAGCCCTCTCATTCCATTAAATACACAAAATATTAGGGTTTTGGTCATCAGACCGTTCTTACGTCGTGGACACTCAAAGTCTCACGTCGTGAGACTCAAAATCATGGGTCAACTGGTCAATGGTCACTCACGACGTGACCACCATGTCTCACATCATGACCCTCATCCCAAAAGCTATAATTCAATAAATAAGTACCTCCAAGACCCGGGTGTTACACATATAAGTCTTCCAATCTACAGATCACTATGACATAACAACACACAATACACAAGGATACATAACACAATCTAGTGGGTTGACATTGGTGCCTTCAACCCACAACTATAGTGAGGAAAAACTCACATCCCGGTTTAGAATATAACAATAATGATCCCAATCCGATAACCAGATCTACAGGTCACCTATTAAACAAACAGGGGGTAAGTATCAAACTACTGCTCAAAATACTTAATTAGACCTAAAGTCAAACTTGGTCTAAGTCAACAATTAACGGTCAAAAAGTCAACATCCGGTCGCCACGATGTGGACAAGCATATGCCACATCGTGGAGATAATAAGATAAAATGGTTGTAAATTTGCTAAACGCCATGATGTGGTGACTAATCCCTCGTGTCATGGGAATCTTCCAGACCAACTAAATCCATTAAGCTCTTAATCCTTTTTGCCTCCTCATTCAAACTTTCCAGAATGATACGAAACCCCCAAAAGATCATAAAAATCATAGCTTTATAGACATGCATGTCTTGAGCTGAAGCTAGGTCAACAAGTGTAAAAAATGGGGCCAAGATCTCATGAAAGAGTTTAAAACTCTATAAAAGTTCATCTCCATCACTCTAAACCATAAAAGGACTACGTGGATCCATAAAGTTTGCAACTTTATGGAACCCCAACCTTCCAACTAGCCTAAACATGAAGGATAACACAAGAATACCTAGATATAAGCACATGGGGTCATAAAGCTTGGAACTTGAGGACTTACAAAAGACCAGAAAACGTGCACAAGGAGGATGGTGAGGCTTGCAAGTTGAGATGATGCACTAAGATTTATTATCTTCTTCTTGGCTAGAAATCACACACGAAATCAAAGACTTCAAGAATGGAGTTAAGGTTTTAGTGAGGGATGAAGGGAGTGATGGATGCCAAGGGTGTGCAAAGCCTAGCTATCACATCCCTTAAATAGGGGCGCAAACCCCAAAATTAGGGTTATCATTAAATAGTTGCCATGCAGTAGCCACAATGTTGACACACCGTGACACTCATTAAAGATGCGAGCATACTCAGACCATGGCCACACCGAGGGAACTCATTCCTCATGTTGTGACCACCAAAAATTCCGAACTTTAAACATTAATTTCTTAAAACATACCATAAACTTGGCATACACACGACATCATGTTTTTACAATTGACACGACCATGAATTTGAATTTCAGTTTAGTCACATTTTCATTTCATGTCATGTATTTTTGTCATGTTGTGTCATCATTTGTCATCCCTAGCCACTACAACAAAAACTATTATTAAAAAGAAACATAAAAGTACTTAATTACATGATTATATCTAAGGGTAAAGGGAGCACGAAGTTCGACAAAGTTAAGAGGGTGTTTGAGATTTCATTTAAAAACAATTTATTGATTTATTGTTTTTTAGAAAAGTCATAAGTCAAAAAAATGTTTGACAATGTGAACTCAAAATACCCTTTAAAAATGTATAAGTTAAAACAAACACTTTAAAAAAAATTTATTAGGACATTTCTACCAAAAAGTTAATCAAAACATTTTTTTAGAAAAAATCATTTCCTACTCACCATGACTCAATAAATCATTTTGCCTAAAAGTTTTGAGTTTCAAAATGAAATGTAGCTTGCCTCACATAGCAACCGCGTCATTTTCCCTTGCCATGAATGAGGACATGGGGTTGTGATACCGATCCTTCATGACTCCCTTGTACTAATCATTTCTTTGTCACTTTCTTTCTTCTTCTTTGTCATGGTGCCACTCAATCTAATTATACTTATCATTTCTTTCTTCTTGTCACTTTCTTTCTTCCTCTTTGTTTTGTAAACTCATGTAAATCAAATAAACAGTTAAAGATAATATTTTTTGTGAACATCAGGAATAATAAGTATATGTTTAAATAAAAAAAGTTCTTAACAAGCTAAAGTTTTTTTAAGTATTTTTTTTAGAGCGGCCTTATACATACACATTATTCTATGGTTAAATCTATATGTTTTGTCCGCAATAAGATTAAAACCTTAAATATATATATATATATATATATATATATATATATATATATATATGGTTTTAAGTAATTGAATGTCATAATTATTTTTAAAAATTATTATATATTTCTTTATAAAAAAAAATTGATCTGTGATATTTTTAATTGGTTTGATTTTAATATTTGTTGTGATGACATTGAATGCTAGTATCCTGGGAACCAATCAACCAATGTGATAAAACTACGGTAGTATTTTGTATTCTAACAGTTTCATAGCACAGTAACAAATGACTGGAGGATTAGTTTCTCCATGGATTCTGGGTACTTTTCTTCCTTCCTCATCGGAATTCTCAACATCGTCGCCTTCTCCGGCTACTTGTGTGTGTCGATCTCACTTCAGAGCACCAAAAGACCTTAAATTTGTTCTCCATGAGGCGCTCGATTTTGCTGGATTCAACACTACTTATGCTAGGGTATTTCTTTTCCATCAATTCAATTTTTATTCCCATTGTTTTCTTATACTATATAATACTCCTTCACATCATTTGGCTTGAATTTCTTTTCCTTTTGTTATTATACGTTTGAAAAATCTGTTCGTATAAGCTCTGTTAATCGTTAACAGTGCTCTGTACCCTGATAGGTAGCAATTTTCGATCAAAAGTCATTTTTTACAAACTTTCATTCATTCGATACAAACTGTTAATGTCTTAACTAAGTTCATAAGGGTTTGAGATGTTCTAGGTTGGATTTTCCATAGTCAAAATCAAATATATGATTGATTTTATGATGTGATGAGTATTAATGAGGATCTGTTACATTCATTTGGTTACTCGGGGATAGAGAATTGTCTGAATGTGATATATATCCAACAGGAAGCAAGAGAGGGTTTCTGCTCACAAATTCAGAAATTGTCTGGAATAGAGAGGGAAACAAGCATAATCATCAATAGAGGAGTAGACTTAGGGAAAACAGCTCTTTACATAGCAGCAGAGGATGATTCACTCATCTCTCACTCTTCTGTACCACTTCCTGTGGATGCTTTTATTGACAGATTAGATGATCTTTCTTTGGATTACTGCTCACGCTACAGTTCATCATTCAGATCATCTCCTGATAATTTCCTCGAGTGCCTAGAGAGATACATGTATGTTGACAAGGTATATCTCTCAATTCTTGCTGAAAGTAAATTATATATTTTTCCTTATAAATTCAACTTACAGTACAATATGGTTCCTTCAATTTTTGATTTTTATTTAGGGCTTTCGTAGGAGCAACTCAAGGAATCGATTGGAGCAACGAGCAGTTTATCTTCATTCAGTAAGAAGACTTGTATTATACTTTCTACTATTTATATCTACAGGAAGACTAAAGTATTGTTGTGTGATCAGGTTTTGACTCATCGTGTGGGGTCAATGTGTATGCTTTCATTGATATATTCTGAGATCTTGAAGATGCTTCGAATGTGGGGTCTTGTGACTTTTGATGTTGAAATATCTTCACCAAATGATTCTTATGGTTCTCCTAGAGGCTATCTCAAACAGAGAAGTACAGAGTCTGATCATCAACATATCATGACAACTGAATCACTGTTACTGAAGGTGGCTTCTGTCTTTTTTGTTGAGATATTCACTTGCAGGTTCATCTACTAATTTTCAGTTCTTTCTAATGCTAGTAACCACGTATATCAATGGTATAATTACTGTATGGAACTCTGACTTTTTCACTGCTTTTTTTTTTTCTAAACTTATTTATCATATTGCATATTAGAGTATTAGTACAGCAGTGTTTTTGTTGATTTGGGAAGTCAGCCATACTATTATCTATTATTGATATAAGTTATAATCTTTTATGCAGATTTTGAGAGACTTGAAGCATGCTTTTTGGCCTTTTCAAGTTGACCAAAGTAAAAGCCCATTTCTAAGAGCAGCAGAGGCTGCTAACTGCTCTGATAGATCCACATATATTGACAAAAGGTCCCTTTTTAAGTCATGTTACTCTTTCTCATAGATAATAGATGAACAAATATTTCATCATGAATCCTCAACAATGTTTTTTTTGGGTGTATTATACATTTTACAGTGGATTGGAGGTTGCATCTGCAAAGGCTGCAAGGCATAGGTTAGAACGTGGTGTTTGGACAAGTGTTAGGTTTGGGGATATAAGGCGTGCACTCTCTGGTATGTATTTTTTTGATGAATTCATGTCAAATTCCAATTCTAAAATTTCAACTATATGGAATGGAATGGAATGAGTCATTACATTCCATTATCATGTTTGGTTGGCTTGTAGGAGTAGAGTGAAGTTTCATATAGCTTTTTAAATTATATATAGATATATAGATTCAAGAATTATAACACTATTCTATATTTTATTTATTACAGCATCTCTAACTGGAGTAGCTTATTAGTTATTACTATTTCAATAAGTCTTTGTTGAGCTTAATACCATTGGAGTTAAAGCATAAAGCATATTTTGGTATTTTCTTCAACTTCTTAATCTTCTACTGTGTTATTACATGTTACCCCCTCATCTCAATATAATTTCCTTTTTGACCACTATATTCATATTTTACTTTGTTATATTTCACTACTTGGTTTGTTTTCTTTAAATATAGACAAATGAATTTCAACAATTTTTATTGTCTTCTGTTTATTAAAATGATAAATTAGATGAGGTGTCTTTATAATTTTTTTTTTTTTAAAATAGATGGAGCTAAATATGTAATTGTTAAAAGCAACGTTTGAAAAAACTTTTGTGTTGGAATTGAAATGTAACGATAGGCTTTTTTTAAATAAATTTGGTGGAAATTTATGTGGCAAAAATAGTAAGCTATAAAAAAGGTTAACCAAATGGATGGCATAGCTATTATGACTTATGATCTCCAAAACTAAAAAATCAAACATAATAAAAGCTCATTAAAACCCAAATAATATTATAATAAAAAACACTTTCTATTTATTTTTTAGAAGCTAAACTTGTAACTTATATTTAAAATCATAAAATTCTTAGAAAGGATTTGCGTCATAAATAAAAAAAAAGTTTTTTTTTTTTTTTTTTTTTTGAACAGCATGTGAGAGGCTTATTATTCTTGAAGCTGATTGTATGGAACTAAGAGATTATGGTGCTCTCCTTTATCACTGTGGATTTTACAAGGAATCCTTACAATACCTAAACTTATATAAGGATTCACAGGTACACCCTACACCAAATCAAATTGCTAAAAAACCCCTTATATTTTCCCTCATCTTTCCAAAAAAAAATAAAACCATGAAAGCCACTTGAGATTTTAAATAATGTTCATAAATCTCAAACAACTTTCATTGAAAAATCTATGGAAAGTTTAACAGTTCATTTAAAGCCTTTTATTGGTGCCATATCATGGAAAACTTTTTACAATAATGGCTTTTTTTTGGAAAAAGGAGGAAAATATGAGGGCTTTCATAGCGTTTTCTGTATTTTAGTGTTTTTGTAGACTGATTAAACCACTAAAATAAAGAAAGTAGATTGTTATTTTGGGGTTTTAATTACAAGAAAGTTGGTTGCAGAAGCAGATGAAGCAATTACCAGATTCCTTGACAAAAAAACTAGAGGAAGAAGCTTTAGAGAAGTTAATCATACGTCTTAACCTTATATTAATGGAGGACAAAATGGCTACTAGACCTTCATCCATTGCAAGCTCTCTATATAACAACACTGATCCTTGGTAAAAAAAAAAAAAAAAAAAAAAAAAAAAAAAGAAGATATGATTATTGTATTCTTGTAAATAATGTATATGATATAGTCTCTTATCAGCTCTTATTTTGTTTGATGTTGTTCATACATAAGAGCCTTTTATCAATTCGTTGTCAAAGTTGTATGATGTTGATTACCATGATTTTACACTGTTATATATTTATATTTGATACCAAAAGAAACAACAATTACATGCATTCTAGTGTTCGTGAAGGATTTACAAAGGCGTTGAAACGAGTTATTGGAATTGTGTTCTTCTCTAAGATTTAATGTTTATTTTGTATCTATTGTCAACATTTTGATGTTTACTTTTCATTTATTTTGTTTAGATTAAGTAGATTGCTAATGACTTTCTCTTTACGAACAACATGATCTAGGGTATGTATGGATGTATGTATGTATGTATGTATGTATGTTTGTATGACTATATGGAATATAGTGCATGTATGGAAAGTACATAATTGTTACAAGTACATTACCATACCTGTTAAGGAAGTACGTTACATTATCATATAATACAAGAAAGTAAATTATCATTGTTGTTGGTGAACATTACAAGTCCATTATCATTACCAAAATGAATGTTAGGATCAAAATTAATATTACCATTGGCATAGTAGGAAAGTACATTAAAAGAATATTAACAAAACATAATATTGGATCTATGGCAAGGAAACATATGCACCTTTAACAACCAAACAACATCCAAAGGCAATCGTTAGAAGCATTAACATCAACACTAATATAAGTCTTGGTAACAACACCATCATAATGTAGTCTTCCGTTCATTAAACTGGTTTTGGAAATTGTTTTTTTCTTCAACTTAGCATATATTTCATGAACTATGTCTTTGTATCGTTGAGTTTGAAGGGGTGGGTCAATCCACTTGAAGAAATTACAACTTTTTGCATGGATCATGCAAATAAACAAAAAAATATTAAACAATTAATCTTAACTCTTAAATGTATTGAATATACATTTTACCTAAAAACTAGGACGACTTATAGATCCGTTTCATGTGTGGTCCATGGTCATCCAATAGGAAATTTCACAACATCACCACAAAACACTTAATCACTTGAGCATTTCAATTAATGTTAGTTGAATTTATAAAGCTTATGGAGAAAAAGATTGAAATGTTTTTTGTGTAAAAAAATTATAATTTTGACTATATTGATGATTAAAGTGACACTTAACTACTTGATTTCAGAAATAAGAAAGAAAATAAAAAAGAAATAATATGTTTTTTTTGCTGTTAATATAAAAATCTTAAAGCATCACATTGAGCAAAAAAAATGACATGTCATCATTTCAATAAAAATATCCTAAACAAAAGACAATTTGTGTTCATGTAACAAGTTTACGACACATTATGAGTTTAAATACAACAAAAATAGTTGTGATAAATCGAGAAGAAAAAAATGACCCGATTTACAGGACAACCATCTATGAAAAAGATTTGTATGTATTTTAGGATATAGGATCATACCCAATCTAACCTCACATCTTAGTATTTATTTATTAAATATTCAAGTCATTAGTCTTCTAAACCCTATAAAATTCACCATTTTGTGATATAAAAACTCATGAAGTGTGTAAAAAATGTTCTTTTTTGAAACTTAAAATTTTGTGCATTCAACTTGAAAATCGTATATTGTAGATCGAAGAAACCTCACAAAGCATCAAAACTTCATCTGATATAATATTACACTGATGTCTTAATCATTGATTTCATTATTGACGTCTTAATCAATATCAAGTTATAAATTGTAGTGACATTGCGAGCAAATTTGAAAACTAGTTCATTTTTATAGGATCTTCCAATCCTAATATAATATTACATTAATGATTTTGCAAAACGTAAAATAATCATGACTTCGATCATGACAATCTTAATATTTGCCTTATCTTACAAATAAAAATGCAATTGTCATGCTCTCAATCTTTGTATAAGTAGTGAGAAATCAAATTAACATGCAAAAAAGCAAATTGAATGTAGGAAAATTGTATATCAAGTCAATTTGTATTTTAGGAGATATATCTAAGGAGATTATAATAAAATTATATCTAAATGTGTAATAAGATTATAATAAAATTAATTAGATTGTAATTGTAATCGATTTTTTATTATGAAATATAACATAAAGTTCAAAAGTTATTTTTAGATTAGAAATTTAAATACCTTTAAAAATAAAAATAAAATTTAATGCAAGGTGTTTGGTATTGTTTTTCAAAATAACTTATTAATTTATTGGTTTTTTAAAAGCCAATAAATAATAATAAAAAAATTGTTTTGCAATCTCA